CTTTGTTCAGCAAGAAAACTCGTGTAAATTATTAGCGAAAGCATGTGCCGGGTTGGGTTTAACTAATTGGTGAGGGACGGCGTTGAAAGGCTGGTGCCTTCTCGTTTCGGCCAGACCGATGACATCGTACCTTATCCTTCTTGCTCGCATGAGCGAGTCTTCTATCGAGGACTCGGATGCAAGTGTACGTGCATTGTAGGTACAGATCGTCACCATAGTTCTTCGTGATCCAGGTAGCTTCCATTTTTTCTGAGATTTTAGCAGCAGATTTTAGCAACAGATCATACTTAGTGGAAACCTCATAGAAAGCGGCTCTGAGGAAGGCGAAATCAGCCGAAACGTCAGCTTATTCGTGAATAAGGAATAATAACACCTCGCGTTTGCTCAACAAAAATACGAAGAATTAATTGGTGAGGGAGATTTAATTTTTCTCTGATTAGGCTGTGTGATTCTTATAAGACTCATAGCGCTCACTCTATCCGACCAGGGATGACCTCGCTCCTTTCTCACTGTTTCTCCTTCTCCCATGTTTCGAACATACCCTACTTTCAAACCTGATAAAAAAAAAGATCCATTCATCCTTTAGTCACATTACTATCCTCCTATGGCAGAGTTTGTAAGACATGGAAAGTATATCTCGATGTCTTTTAAGGCTTTTTGCATTCGATGACCTCAGCATAGCGATTGGAAATGAGGTAACATTTCATATCTTCTCAAAAATGTAATGGTGGAGTCTTGAGATAATTCGGTGAGAGGCAAACTAAGCTTGCACTTCTTATGATCCATCAACCGTCAGTCAATGTGTAATCTACCCGTTAAAAAGGGATCTGTATCTTATCAGAGAAAGGAAAAACAAATTTGAAAAAGAAAGGTTGGGAAATGGAGACCAATAACTATTGAAGAGGTGAAAGGACTATTTGGCCGTGTTTCTTACGAGTGCTTCGGGATGTTTTGTGTACTGTCCTACACTTTCTAAACGTTCCCAACTCTTCGATGTAGTGAAGAAAATTCCTCACCGTCCCGTCACACCTTTTGGTGTTCCTTTCAAAAAAAGAAAAAGAAAAAACTGCGAAAACGCATTGATGAATGCGTTTGGGGTACCGGTATAGTTTCTCCACTTACTTTAAACACGTCTATACAAGTGTAAACAGTTGTTGATCACTCTATCGCAGTGGGAAAGTGCTCATAATATTCAAACTCTGGGTGACCATGTCGCAGTGGTTAAACGTGACATGCAGCACACATTGGATTGGTCCACTGGTTCGATCTCACGTCCGGGACTCAGAGTAAGCTTTCATTCCCTGTCCGCTTGACAAATATGCACCAGAATTGCCTGGGAAAGACAGAATTAACGACTTAGCATAACGATCAAATACGCAAGGTACAGAATAGCCAGGTATGCATTCAATCACCTTCATGATACTTGATCAATTTGAATGCACAGCTTATCCCTCAGACACTGATCAGTGCCCAATGTTTTAACTTTACCTATGAGTTTCGAACATCACTGTATAAAGGCAGCAGAAATGAAACATGTAAAACTGCACCAATGGGTTAACAGAGAAAAGGAGTGATAATGTACGTCCCCTGGGACGCACTTGGTTGAGAGCTTGGGTGTTACTCGGATTAGGGCATAAATGCTTCGTTGTGAGTACTTAAGTTTACGACTGTTTGAATTCTGCGTTGATTTATCCAAAAACATGTAATTAAACGAGTGAAAAGAATATTGAAGAAAGTTTAAGCACCCTACCAACGAATAACCAGCTGTTTAACCAAGAATAATGAACATAAATGTCCTATCAAAATACGCTCTTCATTCCCTAGACAAGGAAGAACAGTAGGGGGTAAGACACCACTTTGAGCTATATTGGTACCCTCTCAACTCGTTTGTAGAGAACGCAGAATGAAACCAGTCTTCATTAACATGCCTCACTATTCTAACTGCCACGAATGGATCTCTACCATGAAAACAAATAATTTTGGCTGGCACTCTACCGTGTTGTGTTTGGTGGTTAACTGCTGGGTAAGGTCAGCTCATTTCATTGGCAAGAAAATTTGTATAGCACTACATCACACTAGATTCGACTTGATACCTGCGAACACCCCCACAGGCAGAAAGAACAACTGCTGTGGACACTTGATTCCCATCGTCGTGGCTCTGGAAGAAGGTGAAACCGCTGGAAGGTTAACCACACTAGAGATTTGTAACCAGCAGAATTGAGTAAATGAGTAACCAAAGTAAGTTTACAATTAAACCAAGACGTTCATTACTTAACGACAGGATTTGTTATGTTCCTATTTACTCATATGAACAGATTTCATGTAACGCATTGATCCCATCACTTCTCTTATTCGGCTCGTTACTTTGAATTCATGGTGCATTAAGTTCTTTAGATTTACCCATCCGTTTGGCTGACACTCGACAACTTTGTCTTCTTCATAAATGCTACTGAATGCTGGTCGAGTTGTACATTTCAGTAGTTTTGCAATAGCTGTAATAATGGGTAGGCAGTTCATCGTGGCAGGCAGTCGGCAGTTTTTACGGATCAGTGGGACCAGTTCCGAACGCAATCTACTGATCACCGTGGGAGAGGCGGTTGCCGTTATGAACTATGTATGGTATGGTACCCTACCTATTGCACTTCCCGCTCCTGGCAACATAGTTTATGAAAAGAAATTCCAAAGCTATTTAAGTGCGTTTCATAGTTGTAAAATCTTAAGAATGTACTAATAAACAACATGCCATGAGGTTCGTAGCTAAACAGCGTTGTAGAGTCACTCACCCATTCTCGAATCCTTCCAACATCGGCCACTTTCTAACACTGACAGCACAGAAAGTAAACGTGCTTAAAGGTTAAGAGAAGGCTGATAGCAGCAAAAATAAGACACGGTAAACATAACCGTGTTAATCGCTCGTAATACACTATAATAGCGATTGTTTACATCTTTAAGTCTTTGGATAACCGACTTATCTGTAAAAAAAAGTGCAACGATGTCAAAGTTGTCAGTGTTGAAGCCGAAACCGGAAAGCATTTTCCGCTCGAAGATTTGCAGGCGACGTAATGTGGAAGCCATGGGTTATCGATTCTGTTGGCGTCACGGTTACCTAAGTCCTTTATTTCACCAGACGTCAATATAAACAGCAGAATAAAATGCTGGTATTTTCCACAAATAATGCTACAATTCACTGCACTCTCAGCAGTCGACCACTTATCCGCTACTCCTTCTAATGGTTTTTAAGTAGGACTCTGTTTACCTTACATGCCGTTTGTTTCTCATTCAACCTAACTGATTTGTTAATGGGGTCACTCTATGCTACCGTCATTGTTAACCCTCGGTTGGATTTATGTGCATACACAGTTTTAATTAACCAAGTTGAGGCCCGCAATGTGAAAACATCGAAAACCCAGCTTGGTAGATTACAAAAAAACTAAGCATTCTTAAATTAACTAGCAGATACATCATCTAAGTAGGCAACACAACCAATAATAAGTTAATGCCGAAGTAGAAATGCAAAAGTAAGGACATGCCTAACACGTAGCGCTCAACATGCATCACTCACAATGAACGTAATTAGGCGAATACAGCCGTTATTTGAACAAATATATAACAGATCTTCTAAAGCTGACGCGAGGTTGGTACCAACCTCGCGTCAGCTTTAGAAGATCTGTTTATAAGATCACATAAATAAATATATCAACTATCTATGCCAAGGTTTATAGAAAGTCGGTCTTTCGAGTTATTAAAACATATAACAGCTTATATTAAGCAATAAGCTTTGCCATTTTTAATGTTGAACCGTTAGAGTCTACAGATTTTTGCCAAAAATTTTAAGTTGTTAAGGTTAAGATTGTGATTTCGACTTTAGTCTCAGCTTAACTAGGTTCGTTGCCGATTTGTGCGCCCTAGATCAGTCCCGACGACGGGTGATTGCTGATGGCGCCGATCGATGGAACTAGCTGAGAGGCAGGCGAAACGAAGGATCCTTATGGTGTGGTGGTGAACGCGTTACTCCCTGGAAAGGGTAATAGCGCGTTCTTTCTCCACCGCAGACACCCGCCGTCCGGAGTTTTGCAAATATCTCAGCATCGTCTTAATTGTAAGTTGTCTTGTTTCAAATGGGTGAAATTCTGGTTTTCAGAGCTAACAAATGTCCATACTTCACCAATTTAAACATTCTAAGCAGCTATACTGATGATTCACGATAAGACTAATTGCATGTTGGTTCACACAAGTACTACTCGGCGTGCGCCAGCTTTTCTAATACCGATTGCAGTCGGATGGATTATCGGCATCATTATCAGCCGGCATTCAGTATCAGTCAATAGCCGTCCTGTGTAAAAAGACACCGACGAATGAGGTTGCTTTATTCCAGCGGTGTTCCACTTAGGAGGATTCGACTCGATACGACAATGAAGACCCACAACGTTTGTTGACCATCCACTATAATCGCCGACACTTAAGAAGTGAAAGAAGTCGGAACGTCCGCCTAACAAATGTTTGGTAACAATCTCTCCTATGGTTATGAATGTAGAAGAGTGATTTTTTTTTTTAGTTTCTTCGCTTGTTTGCAGTAGTTTTTCGTATGATTTCTTCCTCCAACTTTGCCGCATTACTTTTTAATCATTCTTGCATTGTTTCACACGAACGGAAGCGGCGATTTTCAAAACAACTGGGATGGAAAGGAAGTTGTTGAATCAGTGAGCAAGATAGATGATAGATAGCGAAGAAGTGAAAATTGCTGCTAATCCTAGGCATTGTTTTTCAGTAACACGTCAGCAAAAGCTGCTGTCACACGTTGCAACACAGGAACCTGGTGCAGAACATTTTAAATCCTTGGGAAGGCTTCTTGAAAACCCCTTTCGAAAAATTTATTCTTTGATGTGATGCATATGTAACTCGAAATCAATTCAGAAGGCTAACTTAATTACAAAATGGCCTGCAAATATTATTTGAAAGAGTTCATCAGCGAAGAAGGCATCAAATTTATCACCAGTTATTTAAAAAAACTCGATGGCTCGAAACAAGTGATAAGCAATTCGATCATACTTCATAGCTTGAGCTTTTCTTGTGAGCGCTTTTACAGTACATGCGACGAAAACAACCGTGATAAGAAATGCGGCACTAATGGCGAGATTTGATGGCGAATTCCAAGCACTTGGGGTGCAATCTAGAATTGCTGCGTCACACAGATTCCAAACTACCATGTTGACGCACAAGTGAAAAATCTGAAGTGAAAAAAGAATGTCAAACCAGAGATGGATAAAGCGTTTGGCACCAACTACCGCATTTGTTGTCTAATTGATAAATTAAAATGTTAATACCTTGATGCTAAATCAACGAACAAACCTGGTGTCCGTAACCGAAAATGTCGAAAGCCACGGGCACAAGTCGTTCAGGTACCCCGGCTCCCATAAAAAACCACTCATCATCACAACTGAAGGCTTTTGTTGGCAAAATGAGCGAGCTATCAGTTATCGAAAAACTAGTAATTAACTGAGTGAGAAGTACATCGAAAGAAGTTCAAGCAGGCAACCAACAGGTAATCAATTGTCTACTCAGTGAAAGCTCGCCGATGCAATGGTCATTTCGTGCTTGCTAAGAATAATGAAGATGAACGTCACACCAAAAATTGTCTCCAGTTCCTTGACAGAGGAGAACAGTAATGCAAACCGGTTGCGTAGGGCACAACTTTGAACTATACTGCTACCTGCTCGACTCAATCGCCAAGATTGCGGAATGAAATCAATATCCATTGGTATGTAATACTGTTCTAACTGCCGTGGATGGACTCCCACCATGGAAACAAAGAACTGTGGCTGGTTATCCGTCAATCGTAAACGTACTATTTGCTGGCGGACTGTGAAGTGAGCTCAGCTCATCTCAGTGGGGAAAACCGTTTCGTATAAAACGGCAGTACGCGGCATAACCGTTTAATTCATATATTATTCCACCACGCTTAATTCGACGCCATGTGACGACTGCGAATACCAACATCAAAAGAGGGAGCAAGTGCTGTGGACACTTGATTCCGATCGTCATCGCTCTGGAAGAAATTGAGATCGCCGAAACGTTAATCACAGTAGAGACTTCCACCAACGAAAGTGAGGTGACACAACGATTTGTAATCTGTGTAAACTTAAAATCAATCAATACGTCGATTATCTATCAACAGGATTTGTTATGCAACCACTGTGGTGCTGAGATATTTCCAAAACCTGGACCCCAGGCCAGATCGAACAGTGATTATCAATTCCTGAGCTTACATGTTATGCACGGCACCACTGACGCCTTGCTTTGCCTTTCTCTTAGCCAGAAAAGAATAGGAAAATGAGAACAGAGAAAATAATGATAGGCACTTAATGAAAAGTTAGCATTGTGATTTAGACTACAGCCTCAATTAGGTTCAAAGCCAATTTGGACCCCTCAAATCGATTCCGTTGGCGGGTGATTACTTATGGCAGCGTTAGGTAGCATTTCTTTATCAGCATCATAGAATTTCTTATATTCTTACTTACTTATTTACATACCTTCGATTTCGCATAATGCACTGAGCACAGCATGTTCCTAACTCACCTCGTTCCCTTGAATTCATGGCGTACAAAGCCGATAAAATTTACCCGTAGGTGCGACTGAGCACTTGACAGCACTGTCTTCCTTACAAATGTGATCGAATGGCCGGTCGAGTTGATCATTTCAGGAATCCCGGGACAGTTCAACTAGAGCATTGGCAGGTTATTGCGTTTGGGAATTGGCCACTTTTTTAAGGATCAGTGGTACCTCTCGCGTCTGTAAAATTTTGAGAGTTCATAAACAAACAATGTTATAAAGCCGCTCACTCATTGTCAATTTTTTGGATTGAATTATTTGTTTAAAAAAAGGTGCCACGATGTCAGAAATATCAACGGTGTGTTTGTGGCCAAACAGCAGAAGTGGAGAAGCATGATCCGCTTAAAGATGTGCAGACAATGCATTTAGAACTCAGCACACATTGGTTATATGTTCTGTCGCCTCACGGCTAGGCGCGTTCTTCAACTCGGTAGACGTCAATATGGAAAGAAGGATAAAAAATTTTATGTTAGAAACCAATCCTGCAACGGAAACCAGCTTAGCAGTTGAATAAATCAGAAGCCATTATGGAGTTGCCTTGACCAACAACGTGATATAATTTCAAGATTTCAATTTCAATAATTTAATCGTCAGTATGTTGCCCATCGTCGTGATACAATTTGCTAATGCGGTGAGCGTCGAGGGAAACCACTCGCACGCTACTCCTTCTTGTAGTTTTTTGAGTTGGACTGCATATGCACTACATGCCATTTGTTCCTCATATTACTTAGTCAATCCTTTGACGAAGCTACTTTGCCTCACCTTTAATTTTAATTTTTATTCTCTAAATTTGTGCACATGCAAAGCCTTGATTACCCAAGTTTGAAAATCATGATTTGACAACGGAAAACCCAGTATGATAGATTAGGAGAAAACTAAGTATTCTCCACTGAAGTGGCAGATATATCATCCAGCTTATCAAGATAAGCATTAATTGAATAAACAAACATTAAACATGAAATTCAAATAGAGAAATAAGGTGCATGTCTAACACGCAGCGCTCGAAATGCATGGAGCACAATTCAAATAACTTGGAGAATACGGGCATGATTTGAACTCACATGTTTCTGGTCATATTAAGCACTAAACTTCAAGGTAATCGAAATAAAAAAAAACCTAAAGTTGATGGCGTTAGAATCGACGGAATTTTGCCAACAAGAAACAAGGATTTTATACAGGCGCAATTCTGATTTTATCGACCACGCAAAAACCCCTTTTTCATAATTTGCAGTTCTTATAATTCACCGTTTAGTTTATAGCTCATAGCCCGTAGTTTCTACAATTCGTGCTTTTTCATAGTTCTTCCAAACGTTTTTTGCTCATCAAGAAAAATAGTGATTTATTCATTTTTCATATTTTAACAAACTTAACAATTTGGGAAAATGTGCTGATTAATCACTCCGACTTCAAGGAAAGTCGGTTAAGTAAAGCATTATTTTGCTAGGTTCTAGAGATAACAATAAGGATGATTTATCGACATGAAAGAAAATCATTAATAGTCGAGAACTGCTTAGTGTGGTTACTTCACACGAGTGGTGCTCCAATGAAGAAGATTCGACTCGGATACGACTACACTCGGATCATCAGCTCCGAAGAACACGAACATGTCGAAACGTTAACCGAATAAATGTTTGGTAACAAATTTGCGCATGATTATAAATACAGAAAGGCAATTTTTTAGCTTTTTCACTTGCTTGCCGTAGTTTTTCACACGATTCCTTTCTCCAACTCCCTCACTCCAGTTTTTCATTATGTCCACGCCTTCTTCCACATGAACATAAGCAAAGATTTTCAAAACAACTAAAATGAAAAAATAGTTCGTACAACATGCAAGACACAATTTGAATTTTGTACATAAAGAAGGATTGAAAATGGGTGCCTATCCTGAACAATATCCTTCTAGGAGAGGCTAACAGAAGATGTTATCGCACGCAGCAACACGGGAACCTAGTGCAGAACGTTTCAAAACCCTAGAGAAAGCCACTCAAAAACCTCTTAAAAATCTTTAGCGCTTAATGTTAGGCTGTGCAACTCGAAATCAATTCATAAGACAAGGCTAATTACAATACAACCTCCAAATATCATTTGAAAGAGTTCATCAAAAAGGAAGGCGTCAAATCCAACGACTACCCGCGATTTAGAAAAAATACAAAGGCGCCAGAAAGAATAGTAAATTCAATCATAACCCATGGTATGCGCTTTTTTTGAGAGAGCTTTCACGGTATATGCAGTAAACGCAACCGAAAAAACAAATACGAAACTGATGGAGAGATTTGACAGCGAATTCCAGGCGTTTGGTGTACAATCGAGATTTGCGGCATCACATAGATTCCAAGCTACCATATTGACGCATAAGTGAAAAATCTGAAATGAAAGGAGAATGTCACATAAGAAATGGATGAAGAGTTTAGCACAGATCGATTAGTGAAGGGCATGCTATGCATTCGACTTCACCGAGCATCATAGAGGCAATGAATGCATAACTGGCTCAAAGAATGAATTGTCGACTTATCGGGTCAATGTATATATACTCCTAAACAAGTCTGTCACCAGTTTCTTGATCGATGAGGTATAGAAGGCTGTACGAGCCTGGGCTCAGGAGTGGATCAGTGCGGCACCTTTAATTACTTCAATACACGCGCCCCTTGCGAAAGAACTACAAGCTATATGAAAAAATAGAAAGAAGAGAAATGGATAAACTTCCGAATAATGTCGACAAGTCTCGTAGGAATTCACTCTCATACTTGCCGGTACATTTGTTGCTTAACTGATAAGGTAAAGTGTTAGTCTATGCCATGATCGAATGCTAAAACGACGAACAAACCTGATGCCCGTAACCGAAAATGTCGAAAACCCCGGGTGCAAATCGTTCAGGTACCCCTGCACCCATAAAAAATCCACTCATCAGCAGCCAACTGAACGCTTTTGTGTGTAAAATGAGTGAGCTATCAGTAGCCGAGTTCTCATTCTGAAACTAATCCTACGACAAAACCGCGAATCATCTATTTCATAATGGCCAAAGCATTGACTGTAAAGCACTGAAGTACTAGATTCCATAAAAATTGAAGTCTAGAAATAGCACTTAGGTTAAGTTCTGCACAGACTGTAATTAGTTGTAGGGTTCATTTCAATAACAGATGTCACAAAAGACGTTAGCAAGAGATCGAATGGTAAAGACTGCTATAGCAAAGCCAAGCAATAACAGAATAGGTGTTTAGTCTTTGTTTCCCTTATTTAAGACCTCTTACTGTTAAATTCTCTACCCTCAGTTGTTTTTAATCTCTGACGTTTTCTTATTTTAGTCAAAATATTCTCTAGCAGATTATTGTTTTCAGTAGTGACATTTACCGTGCCGCTCTATAAAGAAACATCGATCAAATGAAAAAAGCATCAAAACAAAAAATAAGTTAAAAATGGTAAATAAACGTACCGAATACCGATGAATAAGTGGTACGTATACCCAGAAGGCAAGCAATAGGCTAGTGAGCATTCTAAACTGAAGTCGCCATCTCCATTTCGGTTTACTAACTAACAGATAGCAGTTGGTGAAGAACTGAACAACGAGCCCGATGAGCATCAATGACGGCAAATAGGTCTAAAGGTCTAATAGAGACCGACGCGATGACACATTCATGTTTCCAAAGGCCTTAAACACTCCAATGGCGGATAGTTTGAATCCTAAGGACAGTTTAGTAAGCAGAAATTGTAATAAAAGTCCACCCGTTTGCATTTTCGGACTAGTAGCCAACAACCCCTTCTATAAGTGTAAACCGAGTTTTATATAACGTCTGTACTCAAGATCAATGTATTATGTACCATTAGTAAGCCAACATCCCGTTGTTACCTAGTATTTATTCGGCTAACGTTTCGACTTCTTCGTCTTCGTCAGAGCCGATGATCCGCGTCGATGTCCACAGTCGTTCGTATTATCGATCTTGCGTCTTCGTTATGGTTACGAAAGTATTTGGATGAGTAGATTCCACGCCATTGTGAACTTACCAGGCAGGAAATTATAGAGATATCACCTGTATAACGTGTAGTTCCGTTGATCGTCGAGTGACTCGAACGGACGCCAGTAAATCTTCTATTTTTCCCTATCGCGTGCAAGAGCAGTCCAGTGGGTTCTGCTCGCTCTAGGGACTCGTCGAACATCATATCTTTCTTCAAGGCTCTTCGTGAAGAACTCTGATCACTGGGTCGGTGGCCTTCCTGCAGTATGTTTGACATCCCGAGGAATTCAGTCACTAACGGCTCTTGTCCATCTGTTGTCGCTCATACGAATTACGCGTCTGGCCCACCTTATCTTCGACTGTTTGGCGTACAGAACGGCATCTTTGATTTTTGATCGTTGACGCAGATCGGAGCTTCGGATCCCATCCCTTACTTGTGTGGAACAGGATACTCCTAGCATCGCTCATTCGACTGCGCGTTCGATAACGTTGAGTGATTTTTCATCTTCCTTACGCAGGGACCAGGTTTTTGATGCATAGGTTAGGGCAGGGAGTACCGTTGAGTCGAAAAGGTGGGCACGGAGTCGGGTATTCCTTGTTCTCTTCACTACATCCTCAATGACCTTGAAAGCATCCCGAGCCGCTCGTTTCCTTCTGCTCAGTTCTGGAGCTAGGTCGTTCAACATATTATTTTCCTGATCCAGATTGACGTAACTGGAGCATTCGGAGATATTCGTTCCGTTGAGCGTGAGTAGGGCATAAGAAACCAATCCGTTGCTCATGAACATCGTTTTTGTGAGATTTAGTCGAAGGCTAATCTTTCCACAGGCTTTATCAAAGTCGGCAAGCATACGTTCCGTTTGGCTAATGTTTGGTGTTATAAGGACGATGTCATCAGCAAAGCGAAGATGCTATAACTGCTGACCATTGATTTTCACTTCCATATTATCCCAATCCAGTGTTAGCATGACGTTTTGGAGTGTGGGGGTAGATAATTTTGGCAAGATGGTATCGCCTTGCCTAACCCCTTTTTTCACGTAAATGTTAATATCGTTGTAGAATGGTGACATCTTCGTTGTGAAATTTTTATACAGGTCACGAAGAATCTTTGTGCACCGAGTAGGAACTCCTTGACTATGAGGGGCTTCCATGTCTGCTTCCATCTCAACTGAATCAAAGGCCTTCTGTAAACCGATGAAAGTGAAGTAGAGCGGTTTTTTGTGCTCTCGCGATACTTCATTGATCCTTGTTATCGTGTGGATGCGCTTCATCGTACTAAATCCCTTCGAAACTCTGCTTGCTCACATGGCTGACCTTCCTCGAAAGTCCTGTCGGCCCCGTTGTTTAGGATGACTCGAGTGAAAAGTTTTTAGACGACAGACAGCAAGCATATTGGGCGATAGTTGCCGATACCCGATATCGTGTAGGTCACCCTCTTTGAGCAATAACACGGTCTTGCTAGTCTTCCACTTAGTAGGGACCTTTTATTCAGACAGGTAACGTGTGAAGAGCCGAGCCAGTGTGTTTACCTTCAGGTGCTCTGGTCTTATCCTCTCCGGAGATGGTGCTGTTCGATTTTTCACTGACGAAATGGCTTGTCGGATTTTGGAAGGCAAAACCGGTGGTACCATATCCATCCTCGTTTATTTCACATAGCGGAAGGTGGACGTGACTATCGAAGAGATCCGAGTAGTATTCGTGAATAATTTTCTCTATTGCCATTTTGGACGCTATAACTGTTCCGTCTGGGTGCCGGAGAGTAATCATTTTGGTCTTATAATTGGCGAAGCTTTGGTAGACTTTGCGAATGCTTTTCGCAGCCTCTGTACCTTCGACGATTACTGCTGCTCTTCTCTTTTGAAGGCCTTCTTTTATCGCCTTTCTGCACTATTTTGCCTGTTCGGACGTTAGTTCGCGGTTGCCTGCAGCTCGCGCGATTCCAGGGTGGCGTCTCAGCTCGAGTGTTTCTGGAGACAACCGTCTCTTGGTGACTTTCGAACTGTCAGTTTTCATAGAGCTAACGTGAAGATGTTGAATGAGCCAATCGTATTCTTCGTCGATGTTACCGACAACGGCATCTTCTCAACAGCCGACTAATGAATTTAATAAGCCCCAGTTTACGGTGATTCTGGGGCTTGAATTTAGTGCCTTTCTCTCCTTTCCGCGAAAAATAGAATCTTGCATGAAGGAGACGACAGTCTGATCCCGTGTAGAATTTTGGAACAACAACGACATCGGTTAGGCAAAACCTTCTATTTACTATGATGTGGTCTATTTCGTCATGGCACTCTCCCTTGGAAGACCCCCACGTCCAGCGTTGAGGGTGGGGCTTCTGAAATTGCGAGTTACTATGGAATGTCTTGGTCGCCACAATAAACTCAGACAGCCGCTCACCCTGCACGTTGCATTCTAATTCGTGGGTCCTAGTTAAACGCTTTTCTTGGTCTAAACTTGGCATTGAATTCTCCAATGATGACCTTGAAAAATGTATGGTCTTCTCTGTAGAACTTTTCCAAGTCCATGTAGAACGCTTCGACTTCTTCTTCGTCGTAGTTTGATGTCGGCGCGTAAACGACGAAGATTGGCAAAGCCGGTATTGATCCACATCCTTTTAGTCGTAAACGTTCGATTAGGGTTATAAGTTGTTCGAATGAATCGATGTTCATGGACAAATCCGTGTTGACGAGAACGCCGACGTCGCGGACGCATGTTCCGCTTCTCCGGTGTCATAGACTGCGTTGAATGGGTGACATCGTCTCGCTCCGGCTAGGCCGATAACGTCGTACCTTATCCTTTTTGCTTGCTTGAGTCTTCTATCAAGGACTCGGATTCAAGTGTACGTGCATTGTAGAGACAGATCAGATCACCTTAGTTCTCTGCAATCCTGCCAGCTTCCATTGACCCTTTGATTTTAGTAGCCTCTCCGTACTCGTCCTATCCAACGCTGCCGAATTGGGGCTCTTTCGGAGCGAAGGGAATGAGGCCTGTTTCTTTTACTGCTTTTAGCTTTTTGATACTCACATATAGCTTGCCGGGTTTTAAACGTCGGGGCTGGGTGTACTAACGGACGGCTTGCCAGGCTCTCCCAGAGTGGACATGAAGCTTATTTGTTGGAGGCGGCTCCTAACCGTCTCCGATATACTTCCTTGTCACTTGATTGCAGGCTTTTGGTCGAATTGACTCGTAGAATACAATCCGTATAAGCAAGAACGCCACCACCACACACGCATTCATGAATAAGTCTAGCAAATACAGAAAGTATGTGCCAAATCGGAAACAGGCAGCAGAAACAGGTAGTCCATCCCCTGGGTCCACTTGCGTCTCCGTGAAGCAAAAGTTGCTTTTTTTCCGCGATTAACTCCTATCCGCCACCTGGAGATGTGCCACGTAGCATCGCTACTAACCGGCTCGAGATCCCTCATATAAGGGAGTGAGTGGATATCCACTTATTATTTTGAGATTATTTATTCTTCTAGCTAAGAAATCATGTTGTGTTTTGAATTAAATCGGTTGCTTATCCAACCCAGACCATTATGTGCCAGAGAGATGTTGTAGCCACACGGATTTAGGCTGTGGTTCTAAGTATTAAATTCTACATCTTTTTCTTTGATAGAGTACTTTATGACAGCTACACATATCGTTACGAGACCATGTATACAAAGAGTGAAGTGTTTTGTGCTAGACTTTGCTTTTAATAATAGTAATTAAAATATTCACATGGCAAGCCTAATCCAGAAAAGACCGTTTTCATCACAGTTAATTACATTGTCATTTCTTATGTCGTCCGATACTAGTAACAGTTGTGCATCAGTCGGTGAACGATGTTCACAAATCAGTGTTTCGGATAACTTACCACCTGACCTAGAAGAGACATGTCCGAAGCACAGCTGAACCGTTGTAGTCCAATGGAACAACCAAACAGGGCGATACCAGAGAAATCGACAAGAACCCAGAAGACATGGTCTTGCAGAGATCGTGAATGCTAGAATTCTTTAAATTTTAAAACAGCGTTTTTATTATTTTTGACATGTACCAGTGCTGCTGACTATTATTAACCATAAAAACCAACTAAATAGCCAAATAAAGATACTTGAATACCTGAATAATTGGATGCCCTTCTTCACTGGTTATGCAGGTCTCAGTACAGTTTTCAGTTTTTCAGAGTTTTGCTAATCTAGGCACTGTTGTTTCTTAGAGTCTTAAGGACAGCCCAGCCAAAGTCTACTCCAGGTCGTCACCACAACAGGCAACCGCAGCACTTGTGGATCAGAGCGAGATTTGCCACCATGCGACTAGATTGGTACGAGGACGGTGATCGATCCTGGTACTGGTTTGTTCTAAGATGGGCATCCTGATAGAAACGCTGGACTACTCAGCTTGAGAGACCCTGCCGAGAGATGAGCCCTTCCGCCGTACTTCGCAGCCCGACACACAGGAACAGCTCTCAGCCACGATAAGGCGGTAAACCGTTGGGGGTGATATAAAGACAGCTTGACGCAAAGATATTTTTTCCCATTTTGTCGCAAAATTACTCCCTTTCTGTTGACGGATGATTTCTGATGGCACTAGTAGATAGAAAAACTAGCTGAGAGACAGGCGAAACGAAGGACCCGTGGTGGTGAACGCGTTACTCCCCGGAAATGACAGTAGCGTGCTCGTTCCCCACCGCAGACACCCAGGGTCCGGAGTTTTGCAAATATCTCAGCATCATCTTAATTGTAATTTGTCTTATTTCAGATAGGCGAAATTCTGATTTTTAGAGCCTACAAATGTTCATACTTCACCAATTCAAACATTCTAAGCAGCTGTACTGATGATTTACGATAAGACTAATTGCGTGTTGGTTTATCCAAGCACTACTCGGCGTGCGCCAGCTTTTCTAATACCGATTGCAGTCGGATGGATTATCGACATCATTATCAGCCGGCATTCAGTATCAGTCAACAGCCGTCCTGTGTAAAAAGACACCGACGGGTGAGGTTGTTTCATTCCAGCGGTGTTCCACTTAGGAGGATTCGACTCGATAGGACAACGAAGACCCACAACATTTGTTGACCGTCCACTAGAATCGTCGACACTTAAGAAGTAAAAGATGTCGGAACGTCCGCCTAGCAAATGTTTGGTAATAACTTCTCCTATGCTTATGAGTGTAGAAGAGTGATTCTTTTAGCATTTTCACTTGTTTGCAGTAGTTTTTTTTCATGATTTCTTCTTCCAGCTTTGCCACTTTACTTTACATAGACGTTCATACAGGCGGTTACGAACTAACTGACGACGTAGAGTAGCCGGTGGCATTTCAACTATCGCTACCTTTCATCATTCTTGCACTGTTTCACACGAGGCGACAATTTTCGAAGCAACTAAAATGGGAAGGAAGTTGTTGAATCAATGAATCAACTTAAATCACGTAGATAAGAAGGATAAAGAGTTAAGCTCCTGGCTCACCATTATGGTTGTATTTCAAATAGCACCCTACCGCGAAAAAATGTAATACGCAGCAAATAAAAGGTTAACATTCTGGTTTCTCTTCTACTTTGGAAAATAACTAAAGGAAAGAATTCGGCTTTTGAATCGGAAATCCGATGAACAAATGCAAGAAAGCACTGTGGCACCGCAATTTCTAACAAGGCCTAGCCACGGCGGTGGAAATCTTTTCAAGATTCAGAAGACTTGAAATGCATTTAGTGATCACCTGGAAACCTTTAAGGGTGGTTATCTCGGAGTTCAAAGGGAATTTTACTTTACAGATCAGCAACCTAGTAAATAGATGGCTGAAAATCCTATTAAGGCCGACGTATATTGCTGAAAGAGATTTTCAAAGCGAAAAATAGTCAAATGTTTTAGAAGTATCCACAGCGATGTAAAGCGACGGTTCTTACTCTGCAGTGTTTCCAAAGCTGAGGAGCCTTGCGTTTTTATTGGAAAGCTCAACCAGTGGCAAATCATTGTCACGACAGAGCCCCAGAGTTAAGTGCGACGCCCTATCGCTATGAGAATTAGGAAGTAGGCATCGTATTAAAGACATGATGGTCGTCGTACTACGTAATGAACGGATTTCATCGAGTTCTTTTGACGTGTAGCATGGATGTATAACCATTTCAATGGCACTTTCCAGGTATTTGATGAATAGCGGTATTTGAGAGGTAACGTTTATGCTGCTATCTGTAGTAGTTCCCAAGATCGACTTTCTCTTAACCTCGGCATTGGAATATGAATGTGTCGTTTTCTTGCTCAGCAATCGCGAGGTTTTTAAACAGCATACATTTACTTCCATAAAGAAAACACAATACAATACAACGCTAGCTGACGTTTCGGCAGTATCGCCTTCTTCAGAGCCTGGAAGGGTATACTGATATGCAATCTACTAGGCCAAACGCTTCAATAACACTTACAAAAAGACGAAGAACTCTCCGGTAATTACACAATCAACAACTTCTCGAAAAACCCACCGCTTTTTCGTGACTTCCAATGAGGAAGTTTAGAACAGCTGATTATAGTCGCATGTGGTTGACGACTGCACCATCCCACATCAAAAATCGATGCGAACGTACGAGATCAGGTCGCGTATGATCTCCGGGCATTCCTCTCTGCATCATTGTAGGGTTTTTGGCATTGATCCAAAAAACCTCAAGAAATTTTCTGGTTTTTTAGTCTCCTGTGCAAAGATATTGACTTTTACTTCAAAATCGTCTCCGCTATGCTTTTGTATCCTATGCGTGCCTAGTGGGGTGCTTCGTCTTAGTTTTCGTTTGCCATCTAGGTGTTCTTTTATACGGATACACAAAGGTCTGCCCGTTTCGCCAATATATCCATCTCCGCNCTCCTGTGCAAAGATATTGACTTTTACTTCAAAATCGTCTCCGCTATGCTTTTGTATCCTATGCGTGCCTAGTGGGGTGCTTCGTCTTAGTTTTCGTTTGCCATCTAGGTGTTCTTTTATACGGATACACAAAGGTCTGCCCGTTTCGCCAATATATTCATCTCCGCAATTGTTACACGAGATCAGGTATATCGTACCTGAACTCATGCAATCACCGTCCCTGCCGTAAGGGCAAATTACGCAATTTGTTGTTTCACACAGACGGTCATACAGGCGGTTGCGAACTAATTGGCGACGTAGAGTAGTCGGTGGTATTTCAACTATCGCTACCGATTCCTCTAGACCTGCCCTTCTTAAGCATCTTGTAATACATGCGGAGATGGATATATTGGCGAAACGGGCAGACCTTTGTGTATCCGTATAAAAGAACACCTAGATGGCAAACGAAAACT